ACGCCAGTTTCTAGGAAAAAAACCGGAAGTATTTTCGGACCGTGGTGGGAAGTTAGAAAAGTGGTAGTAGGGTAGGCAAGTTAAGTTAGTACTACCAGTTAAGGAAGTTTGGGGTGAGGGGGAGGTGAGTTTACTGACACCAGATATCACGATGCTATGCAAGTATGCTAGTGGACCCTGTGATTACTGATATCCAGAGGGGAAGTGCAAAGAACCTGGACGTGGAAAAAGCTCTTCACTAGGTAGCCTCTGACATCATTTTTAGCAGCGTTACTATCTTGTCTGTGCTGTAGAGACGTTAGCGAACGGAGATCTCAAAAAAAAATACAGAACAAAGTCTACCCATCTTTACTACTTCGGAATTGATGAGGGTAATCGTGCACAACTGATACCGTTTCAGGACCTTATTACTGTGGCGTCGGAGCAAACAAGGTGTATGGTCGAGATATAGTAGAAGCACATTACCGCGCTTGTTTGTATGCCGGTATCAGCATTTCCGGTACCAATGCCGAAGTGATGCCAGGCCAGGTGAGTGAATGAGGTTGCAGGTTTCTCTATTGGCCCATTCAAAGGCGAAAGAGACTTTTGTCATGGCGCTGCGGCTATGACTGCGCTTTTATCACCTTAGGAACCCAGTACACGTTATCCAGTACTCAGGAAGTGACTCTTATAGCATATTAGGCTTCCGTATCTTTCTGGGAGAAGTTGCAGGAGTGCGGTCTTATATCACCATGCGGAATGGCCTGTACAGGGGGGCGGCCAAAAAGTTCATTTTCGGGCCGAGCCACATATCAACGAAGTTTTCGCAGCCCAGACAGGGGAAGTGGATATGAGTACCAGAGTGGAAGATACCCAAGATGTTCCTCTATAAGCAGGAGCTGGCCCTCGCCCATCACCTTCATGTACACCAAAATATGAGGTCATCTCCAGTCGCAGTCCTGACTGGAGAAGACCTTGCGAATTTTCATGTCACCTCCAAACTGCCTATTACACTTTAGGTGGAAGTCAACTATGCGATAGCTTACCTGTGCAGATAGTACTCTCAGATTTGGAAGACCTCCAACATCGATCAGCTCACGTTCAGCGTCGCCTACGGTCCTTAGGACATCATCTCTTTACCTCAGCTCGCCCAAGGCGCGGTTCCTTGTTGATGCGTTGTGGACGCCGGACGCACCTGGAATGGAAAGACCAATATTTTCTTCGTGGACCCCGTGAAGCTGAGCGCTGGCGTTACATCGACCAACTCAAGAAGAATATCTTCTCCACATGTCGTCGCCCGTACCTTCTTGGAAACTTTGTACTGCTACAGCATTGGGTGCCACCACGTGGAATCAAAGGGCGTTGGGAAAACTCTTGCCTACTTGGAATGGAAGGGCGTTGAGTACCTAAAGAAGATGGAATATCTAAGTAGGTCACCTGACCTGAATCCCCTCAATTACCCGGTTCGAGCGGAGTTCAATAGGGTGGTCTACGGTGGCGGAGAAAATACGACCATCTCGCTGATATCAGAAGAGACACATCGCAGCGTCGCGTGCCAGGAATCTCTAATCTATAGTATTTAATATGCTCTTTAATATGGTGGTAGAAATGTCCGATCAGAATTTATAAAGTGTAACTTATAGCGCCTCGAAAGTCAATGAAGCAAAGTGACTTTTTTTTGCCCCCCCCCTGTATAGCGCGAATTGAAATTGGGAAGCATAAGGCACAAATGACGTAATCAAATGTTTATTTCGATATTGTGTTGTTCCATTAGGATCTTGATGCGTCTTTGGGGGAGGGAGACATTCCGTTTCAGTTACTGCCGACGGAATACTTGAACACTCTTATGAAGCCATGGAATGATATCCACTGATGCTTGCGTAGAGAGACAATGGCAGGCACAAGGAAAAGCGCAGTGGCCAAGTGGCTGTCCCCAAAGCTGAACAGCTTCTCTACATATTGTGTAACATTAAGAGGCTCACAAATTTAGTGCAAAAAAGCTTTGAAGGCTCTGAGAAAGCCTAAAATTTGGGACGGAAAGTTCTCCTTCTTCGAATATTTCGGTGCCCCGCGCCTTTCTCAGCTACCTGAAATACAAAAGATAGCAAGATTAATTAGAACAGGCTTTGCACTACCTGACCCATCCCGGTCTGCTCAACTGTTGAAGCTTTACGAAGTACCACCCATATGAAGGGTTAATCAAATGACCTACCTCTCACTCTCCTCAAGGAAAAACTGAGCATTTAACACCTCGGATCCTCGCCTTTACCAGGTACGAGGTGCATGAATCCTCAGCTGCCGTAGAGTGCCACTTTTTTCGCTCATGAGGGCTGGAGGGTGGTGATACCTGGGTGTCTTCTCCGTACTCCCTTCCGCTGCCACGCGGCCAGCCGCACGCCTAACCGTAGCCAAACGCGCTCCTTGTCTGGGCAATCTCAATCCTGCTGTGCTGATCGTGCTGACCACGTGTTCGCTGCAGGATTCTGATATCGACCCAAGTGCTGCATCTTGAAGATATCGCGGATGGAGTAAGAAGGCGGCACCTGTGTATCATTAATAGCCCCGCTCTTGTACAATTTTAAGCTGCCAAAGTGGCATACTGCTGCACTTGCGCACTCATTCATCTCACGTATGGAAAAGACCGTCCCCGTAGGTGAGCGTACTGTTTGTATTTAACCACATTGATCCACATTGACTGTCACTGTGTGATATCAGAGACCACTTGACAATGGTTACATTGTTAGTAAATGGCTAGCAGAAGGCACGTAGGCGTTCTAACTCCTTATTTTCAGGGCCTCCAATAATTTTATTTCCTTTAGGTTTATTGGACAAAAGCATTCATTCTTGCTTTTAGTGGGAGTTCCAAGTTGGTCCAGTCGAAGGAATAGCGATGGGTGATCAGCTGTGGATGGCGCGCTTCCTTCTACACAGGGTTGCTGAAGACTTCGGTGTGGTTGCTTCGCTGGACCCCAAACCAATCAAAGGTGAGAAGTAGGTCTGTAATTTGGGGGTGGTTGTTTTGAACGATTCACAAGGCTCGTCTCTTCGAAGACTCTTTCAATGGAACCTAAGTAAGAGCATCTTTGACGGTTTTTCCTTCTTTTTCTGCCCTGTTAATCTCATTATATCTACGAACCCTTACTTGAATTGTAAAGTCCAAAATCATGGAATGTGTCACCGGCATTTCAATAATCGTTGATCTAATCTGAGGAGCTTCAGGAGACTGGAATGGAGCTGGATGTCACACTAACTTCTCCACTGCTTCGATGAGGAAGCCTGGAGGTATCAAGTAAGTGTTAGCTGCCGCGGCCAGCTTTCTTCCAGTCTCCTGAAGCTCCTCAGATTAGATCAACGATTATTGAAATGCCGGTGACACATTCCATGATTTTGGACTTTGCAATTCATAGGGGTTCGTAGATATAATCTGAAGAGCTT